ATGTGATTTGCAAACATTTTCTCCCAGTTGGTGTGTTGTCTTTTGGTTTTGTTGATGGTTTACTTTGCTTTGCAGAAGCTTTTTAATCTGATGTAGTCCCATGTGGTTACATTTTATTTTGTTTCCCTTGCCTGAGTAGATATGGTATTTGAAAAGATGCTGCTAAAACTGGTGTCAAAGAGTGTACTGCTTATATTTTCTTCTAAGAGTTTTATGGTTTCAGGTCTTACATTCAAGTCTTTAAGCCATTTTGAATTAATTTTTGTGTATGGTGTGAGATAATGGTCTACTTTCATTATTTTGCATGTGGCTGTCCAGTTTTCCCAGCACCACTTATTGAAGACTTTCCTTTCTCCAGTGAATGTTCTTGGCTCCTTTCCCAAAGATTAGCTGTCCATAGATGTGTGGTTTTATTTCTAGGCTCTCAACTCTCTTCCACTGATCTCGTGTCCGTTTTTGTGCCAGTACCATGCTGTTTTGATTACTATAGCTTTGTAGTATAATTTGAATTCAGGGAGCGTGATACCTCCAACTTTGTTCATTTTTCTAAGGATTCTTTTGGTTATTTGGGGCCTTCTGTTGTTCCCTGTAAATTATAGGATTCTTTGTTCTGTTTCTGTGAAGAATGTCATTGGGATTCCGATTGGGATTGCATTGAATCTGTAGATTGTTTTAGGTAATATGGACATGTTAACTATGTTTATTCTTCCAATCCATGAGTAGAGAATGTCTTTCCACTTCTTTATGTCTTCTTTGATTTGTTTCAATAACGTCTTATAGTTTTCAGTGGACAGGTCTTTCACCTCCTTGGTTAAATATATTCTGAGATATTTTATTCTTTTTGTTGCAGTTGTAAATAGGATTGTACTCTTGATTTCACTTTCTGCTAGTTCGATATCACTGTATAGAAATGCAACTGATTTTTGTATTCTATTTTGTACACTGCAACTTTACAGTATTTGTTGATTATTTCTAGTAGTTTTTTGGTGGATTCTGTAGGGTCTTCTATATATAGAATCATGTCATCCACAAATAGTGAGAGTTTCACTTCTTCCTTTCCCATGTGGATCACTTATTTCTCTTTCTTGCCTAATTGCTCTGGCTAAAACTTCCACTACCATGTTGAATAAGAGTGGTGAGAGTGGGCATCCTTGTCTTGTTCCTGTTCTCAGAGGAATAGCTTTCAGCTTCTCTCTGTTGAGCATGATGCAGGATGTCTCCACAGCATGGCTGATGAGTGGAGCAGGTCCATGCCTGGGATCCAAACCCACGAAGATCCAGGCCACCGAAGCAGAGCATGCTGACCTTTTAACCTCTCAGGCATGGGGCCAGCCCCTGGAGGAATGTCCCCTTTATCATTACACAATGTTGATCTTTGTTTCTTGTTATATTTTTTTGTCTTGAAGTCTGTTTTGTCTAAGTATGACTACGCTCACTTTCTTTTGGTTGGCATTTACTTGGAGTATCATCTTCCATCATCCCTTCACTCTGAGCCTACGCTTGTCTTTAGAACTGAGATGTGTCTCCTGGCAGCACGTTGTTAGGTCTTTTTCTTAATCCATTGTACCATTCTGTGTCTTTTCATTGGTGAATTCAATCCATTTACATTTAGAGTGAATATTGCTATATGACAGCCTAACACTGCCATTTCATCTTTTGTTTTCTGGTTGTTCTGTATTTCCATTGTTTCCTTTACCTTGTATTTCTGCCTACAATTTCAGTTTGGTGGTTTTCTGTGATGGTTTTCTCCTTATTTATGATTTGTGATTCTTCTCTGAGTTTTTGTTTTGTGGTTACTTTGAGATTTGTATAAAAGATCTTATAGATGATAGTCCTTTTTCTGCTGATAACATCTTATCTCCATTAGCCTATGCCAGTTTCATCCCATTACTCTTTCCCTTCTATGCTTTTGTTGTCACAAATTATTCTTTTTTGTGTTGTGAGTTTATGACCAAATTGAAGTGGTTATACTTATTTTCGATGCTTTTTTTCCCTTTAGCCTTTATGTTATAATTGTTTAATAATCTATTCTGACATAAAGTTGAAGTTTTCTGATTCTGTCTATTTATCACCTTGCTCAAAGCTTTGTTAACCTTTGCCTTTTTGTTTCAGGTAGGAGGGCTCCCTTCATCATTTCTTGTAAGGCAGGTCTAGTGGTGATGAACTCCCTCAGCTTTTGTTGGTCTGGGAAAACTTTTATTTCTCTGTCATATCTGAAGGATAATTGCTGGATAGAGTATTCTTGGCTGACAGCTTTTGTATTTCAGTATTTTGAGTGTATCATCCCACTCTCTCCTAGCCTGTAGAGTTCCTTCTGAGAAATCTGCTGAAAGCCTGATGAGGGTTTCTTTGTAGGTTTTCTTCTTCTCTCTGGCTTCCCTTAATGTTTTTTCTTTGTCACTGACTTTTGATAGTTTTAATATACGCCTTGGAGAAGGATTTTTTGCATTGAGGTAATTAGGAGTTCTGTTGGCTTCATGCACTTGCATGTCCAGTTCTTTCCTCAGGTTTAGGAAGTTCTTGGCTATTATTTCTTTGAATAAGCTCTCTGCTCCATTCTCCCTCTGAGATATCTATAATCCTTATGTTACTTTTCTTGAGTCAGATATTTATCGAAGAAGTTCTTCATTTTTTAAAAAATCTTAGCTTTCTCTCCTCTTCCACCTGAAGCATCTCTAGGTTTCTGTCTTTGAGCTCACTGATTCTCTCTTCCATAAGGTCTGCTCTATGTTTTGTGTTGTTTACATTATTTTTTATCTCATTAATTGTGTTCTTCATCTCCAGAGTTTCTGTTTGGTGCTTTTATAGAGCTTCAATCTCTTTGGTGAAGTATTCCTTCTTTTCATTAATTTTATTTCTGAGTTCATTCAACTGTCTATCATCTGAGTTGTCTTGTAACTCACTGAGTTTCTTTATGCCAGCTATTTTGAATTCTCTGTCAGTTAGATTGTAATCTTCTGTGAATTCAGATTTGCTTTCTGAAGAGTTGTCATTTTCCTTCTGTTCTGTCATGTTATTGTAGTTCTTCACGGTACTTGATGAGTTGATCCATTGCTGGCACACTGCAGTATTAAGCACCTTTCTTATTTAGGTAAGACTTTTGTTAGTTTTTTTCTGCTTCTGATTGTATTTGAGAGTCTGACCTTTCCACCCTCCACTGCCTCTGTTAGAGGTGTCACCTGTGCCCTCCTTGTGCTGCTTGTGCCTCTGAGGTTGCTGGTGCCTTTCTGCTTACAATGTCACTGCAGTCGCAGGTGTCAACACTGGAGTCACCAGGCTGTGAGGACTTCTGCTGATTCCAGAAGTCACAGAGTCTTGTGTTCCTCAGTGGCTCTCTGCAGGCTCTCCATGGGCTCAGATGCTGTTGTTTCATGCACCACATGCGCTGCTGCTCCTGGGTTGTCTGGAGGTGCTGGCAACAATCCTGCCAGGGGTGCTGGCAACACTCCTGCCAGGGGTGCTGGGTTCATGAGTGCTGCTGTCACTGCTGGGGGCCTCGGGATCCAGGAAATTGTATGCAGACCCTGCTGCTGGTAGATCCAGTGTTGGAGCTGCCACCACTGGGGACTGGATCATGTGTTTTGCTATAGTTCCCAAAGCTTTAGGTCACAGGTTCCACCTGCCAGGACTTGGCAGGGGCTAAGCTGGGTGTGTTGTTGCTGCTCGCTCATGCAGCCTCTGGTCACTGGCACTAGCCAGTGTATTTTGAAAAATTAAATATGCATTTTGAACACTGTCCTCACTCTTGGAAAGTCCTGGTCACTGCCAGGGGAGGGGGAAGGAGCTGGGTCACTGGCTCCACTCTGTGTCCTGAATCCTCAGGACATGTCTGTCACTTGCTATTGCTGGGAAGGGGAGCAGGGGCTAAGCTGCAAGTGCCAAGTCTGCCCTGAAGCCTCTATTTGCAGGTGCCTGCACCAGTGAGAGAATCTGCATTTTGTATCACCACTGCCAAAGATGGGGAGGGGGCTTTTCCTCTAGCTCCACTGCCTCCCAGATGTCTATTCCACCCTAATTCAGATGTGTAGATGCATGGATCTGTTAGGCATTCTGTCGTGTTGTGTAGGGAGTCCTTTGTTGATCAATGGATGTCCAATTGATTGTAACTTAGAGGGGAGAGACAAAAGGAACAACTCACTCACCATGATGCTGTTTTGATTAGATCTTGTTGGTTGACTGTGTTATTCAAATCTTCTTTGTCTTTATTTATTTTCTGTCTAGTAGTTTTTCTCAGTTTCTGAGAAAAGGGTGTTGAAGTCCTCATCTTATTTGTAGATTTGTCTATTTCTCCTTTCTGTTCTATAAGATTTTGCTTCAGGTATTTTGAAGCTCTGCTGCTTAGTGTATGCACTTTTAGTATTATTATGACTTCCTGGTGGATTACTTTCTTTGTCTATAGTAATTTTATTTTTTCTAAAGTTTATTTTATCTGATATTAACATAGTCAGTCACTCCTGGTTTTTATGATTAGTTTTCATGGTATGTTTTTTCCTATCTTTTAACTTTAATCTACCTATGCTACTGAATTTGAAGTGAGTTTCTTAACAGTTGTAGCAGAAATCCAGAAAAAAAACATGATTGTTAAACCATTAGTTACTCATCACTTCTAAGTACTGAAATGCAGTAATAATAATGGTAATGTAAATTATTTAATGTTGATTGAGATGTTTATATCAATCATGATTCAATTATATGATCAAATTAAATGGGCTAATTAAAAATAGAAAAATTAGGATATTTTATTAACTACCTTAGAATGCTTTTTAAAACTTCAAAAACCTGTTCAAAGATTATACAGCATGCTGATCACTGCATTTTATTCAAGGTTACATATGTAGTATATATAAATATGATTTCAAAATATGTCTTTTGAGATAATGCAGTCTTATTGAAGTTCAGTTTTGCCAATTTTACAAATATCGTGACAATTTTCTCAATGGCATTTCTACTAACAACACAGGGGAAAACCCATTTGCTTCTTTAAATGAAAGATTACTTACTGCTCTTTTTCTAGAACACCCTGTAATCCAAGGCACAGTAAGGTTTCCTGAAATCTGTGGAAACAAAAAATGGAATCTCAGTAAGGTATGCATTGACACTACTTGGAATGCTGATCAACACCAAAGAATTCACACAAGAGGTCAAGATAGGTCTGCATTCAGAGCGTATCCCCCATATAAATAATGCTGTTTCCTTACTGAACACAACAGATTTTAAAAGCCTTCCTTTGTGGAGAAATTTTAGAAGTGGTGAAAGTTCTCCTGGATATTCAAGAAAATTTCTAAGATATTGTTAGAGCCTGGAAGTATGGTTTGGAAATCTACGGACAATAAAATTATCATAATAAAAATGCAGTACTCTGTGGAATAAGTGAGTTACAATAATTTAATTATTAACTATAGTCATCACGCTGTATATTAATTCTCTAGATTTATTCATCTTACATAACTGCAAGTCCCTTTTTAAGTAGAAACTCCTAAGGTTAAAAGCCAGCAACACCTTATTACATCAACATTGCCACTCAAGGAGATAGGTGCTACTCCAGTCATATTCTGAGGAGTGTTTACAGAGACCAAGGTTGTCCTGTGAACTCTGGCTCAGGTTAGCCTTGACTTAGTCATACTTTTTCCTGAGACACACAAGGATTGGGGAGTACTCCAAGCTCTCCACTTTCCTTCTTCCCAAACACATATCTCCTGAGAGACTAACAATTCAAATTAGTCTTGTTAAGTGGTGGTGGTGGGAATGTGGTATTCAATCAAACATTTATTGTTTTTGATAAATCATATACAGTGATGGCCTATGAATTAGCATTATGCCTACTGATAAGGAGTGATGATCAAACAGTCAAGGTAAGCAGCAAGGTATTACCCTCAATTATTCAAATTCAGATAAGTTATTACTGTCCCTGACCATTAGATCTGCCTTTTTACTTTGAGTTTAAACTATACCAATATGCTAGGGATAGGCCCAAAATGATATAAACTCCAAATAATAGATTTAAGGAAAAAATTTAAAAATATTTTCACTCAAGCTAAAATCTCAATTACAGTAAAATGGAAAATAACTAGAATGCTTGAGGGTAATGAGAAGGTTTGAATGTTTGATTTATTTAAATGGTGAAGTGAGAATGATAAAATTTCTATGGAAAAATTCTTCAAAATGTATACTTTCTTATTCTTCCACCAATACTTTGTGTATGATATAATGTTTGCAGGGTAAATTGATTGCCGGCCTCAATGAAGGAGATAAATCTGCTAAAATAATCACATAATATATTCTTGAAAAAATAGAGATATCCAACTATTTTGGATTATCTATGCACATATTCCCATCTATTAGTGAGGATAATTTAAAATTGGCTATATAAGTTGCTAGAGAAAATATGTTAAACGAAATGAATTTCAAAAAATCCATAAACCAGTGACTACTGAAAAGTTCCATATGAAATAATAAAATGATACATATAATAAATATGGTAATTGAATTTCTTTAAACATGGACATTACACATTTTGAGAATATAGAATGCAGTCTCTGCTTAAGTCAATTGTATGTAAGCAAGAAAATGGAAAAGTCCTATAAGCACATTAATATATAAATATTACAAATTCCATGCAATTTGGGAAGAGTTTGTTTCACTTTTTTGTTTGATAATTCTGTGGCACCAGTGAGATGATATTCAAATGCTATATTCAACTACCCTCTACTGTTTACTTCATATCTATTTTTCAGTTGGTTATGTTTCTGGTAAAACTCAGAAGCAGGCATAGTAGCTAAATTTCTAGGTTTTTTTGAATGATAGTACTGTATAAATACGTTTCCCTCAAATTTGGGAAGTTTTGTTAGGTCCAATAGTGATGACAAGGTTTCTCTCTCACCAGAAACTATAAAATACAGGATTTCAAATGAGCAGAGTAATCTACTTCTTGTTTAAATGATATTTAAATTCCAAACACATTCTTTAACACCCTGGTTTGGAATATTGAAAAATGAATCCACAAGGAGACAAGACTGATTTAACAAATATATTATAACTTACACATCCACATGAGTATTGTATGTTTCAAACTAGAAAGCTTAGGAAGTCATTACAATGATGTCATCATTGTTGAAAGCACTTTGGGAATTTTTTTGAAGTTGTCAGTTCATGACTCACTCAGATTCTGTCACATTACTTCATATTGTCTTTGGTTTAAGTGAAAAGATAACAGCTCAGATTGAACATCCATATTATTCACTAAATGTGACTCAGAATAAATTCTGACTATTTTCCACAGTCAAACTTTCCCTCAAATGATGAAGATTTGTCACCACTGAAAGCATTTAAAATAACCCCACAGGCCCTTAAAGCAATTTTAAGAAAACTTCAAAAACTTTTTGACAAATTGAACATTATTGAAATAAGTATAGGTAACTTTCCAAGGTAACTAATTTGAATTCTGATCAAATATTTATCAGGCATCTTTTCTGTACTAGGAACTGTTTTAGGTGCTACAGGAAATAAAAAGATGGGTAAAACATAATTTCCTGGAGGGCAAGAACTATGATCTGAGAGGGAGTGATAAGACAGGTACATGAATGACTTTAATACAAAGAAAACTACGATAAGTGTCATAAGGGAGGTACAATAAATGATGTGAAATAAGAGTTCAAGATACGGCAAAATTACATCAACTTCAGGATTTATATCTCAGCTGAACCTTAAACTATGAGCAGAATTTTGATAGACAAATAAAAAAGTGAGCATTTCAGGGAAAAGGAATGGTATGAATGCAATGGAATAAAAGGAGAGGGGTGTTTGGCATAGGTCAGTTGCACTAGAACTAGAAAAGGAGTTGGGGTCACTTTGTGGAGGCCATGAATGCCAAAGTATATTTATATCTAATTCTGTGGAAAATGAGGAGCCACTGAAGGTTTTAAAGCAGATGAGTTGTATGGTCAGAAGTTTATTTTTTGTACATTAAGATGATTAATTAGACTAAACCTTAATAGAGAATTGAAAAAATATGGAAACTTTTGTAACAGTTTAGACAAGAGATAATCCAGGCTTGGAACTAGGTCATGGGAGGTGGGAATTGAGAATAGAAATATAAAACATATTCCTAAAGAAAGATCTTATGCATGAGATAGAAGAGAACTAGACAGAGACAGTCTGGAGATTGCTGGATAGTCTTTTTATGGCAATCATAAAACTGCCTCACCAAATGGCTGGCCTGCTCAAAGTAATGGAGAGTTAGAGAGTCAAAGCTTTGAATGTGAATACAAGGAAATGCCTAACAGTGGAAATCTGCTTCTCTTGGCTAAGAGCGGATACACTGAAGGAGGTAGCACACTTAGTTGGATGCAAACTGGAGTCATATCATATGCATATTTAAAGTTTATGAATCCATCTATAACACATTTATCTTTCTCATGAAAAATCATACTTAAAATAGATATCATAATCAGAATATTAATTATATATCATATGTATACATTATGGTAAATGGTGACACACAGAAAGGTAGGTATATAGTTACTTTTATGGAAGATCTAAGGAATTTTTGTTTTACTTCTTTTTATACAATTCAGACTCTACATATGACTCTGCTGAAATATTTCTGATAGACTATGAAATTCTTAACGACAAGGTATCATGTTTAAGACAATTTAGTCTAATTATTTTTATATAGTCACACCGGGAATATACACAAAAACCAATTACTTGATTTAAAAAATCTTTCTGTGATAAAGATAAGTCTATACATGTGCTGGATTTTCTATTTTAAAATTTTCAGAGTTTGGAAGATTGGAAGCATAGGAGGATCCTGAACTTACCTCCTCCCACGAACACAAATAACCTACAACTACCTGTGGAACAATTTCTTCTGAGAGAGATCTGCAAACTGGATAAACAGAGTGTCCACAAGGGACAACACAGAGAGGGGTGGAAGAGGCAGAGATACATCCTGCTGAGGGAAAAAAATATGCCCTAGGGACCAGCTGGTAGCATGGCAGTTAGGTTCGCGCCATCCACTTTGGTGGCCTGCGGTTCACTGGTTAGGATCCTGGGAGCCTACACACCACTTATCAAGCCACGCTGTGGAAGGCATCCCACATATGAAGTAGAGGAAGATGGGCACAGATGTTAGCTCAAGGTCAATCTTCCTCAGCAAAAAGAGGAGGACTGGTGGCGAATGTTAGTTCAAGGCTAATCTTCCTCAAAAAGAAAAAAACACACCCTAGCAGCAGCACTTCACAGTCAGGAGTGATCTCAATGGTACAGAGTGTCTCCTGGAGGAGTGGGGAAGCTGAGCTCTACATTAGGCACCCCAGCCCTTAGATCCAGCACGAGAGACAAAATACAAAAATATCTGGCTTTGAAAGCCAATGAGGAATACGCCCAGGAAAACTGTGGAACTTCAGGGAATGGAAAACTTGCTCTTAAAGGACCCACCCTCAGATTCACTCAACCTGGTAAACAATACAAGAACACCAGATAGAAAAGTACATAGTCTATTGGTAAAAGAGACTCACTTACTAAGCTTGTAGCACATCCTGGAAAGGCAGGAGGTGACTGCATCCACCCCACAGGATTGAAATGGTGGTAGCCATTATTGTGACCTAGTTTGGTCGTGCTGACACAGATGCTGGCAAGCACCATTGGAATCTTTCCTTTAGCCTGTTAGCCCAGGGGTCTGCCTGGCCCACTAAAGTACCTAAGGCAATTGAGTGCAGCCAGGCAACAAGCAGCCCACCCCAGGGACTGGCCCAACCCACCAGCAAGCCTGCAACTGACTTGTGCAACTGAGACTCACAAGCAGCTATACACTGGATCTGCCCCACTTACTAATGCCTGGAATGGAAGCACACTGCTGCGCCTGGGGACTGCCCAGCCCATCAGCAGTGCTGAGGCAGCTGTGGGCCAGAGACCACACAGCCAGTTCATACCAGAGATCTGCCCCACCCAAAAATGAGCTGGCAACGGCCATGTGCCATGCACCTGTCTTACCAGGAGCCTGCCACAACCACCAACATATCCGAGGTAAGCAAGCACTGCAGGATCATGAAGC